TTTTTTTTGGGGGGGGGGGGTAGAGGGAGACAGGGGGAGGTTATAGGATATAATTATTTGCTAGAAGCCCATGAACAGCTTGCTATTCCTGACAAAATTTGGTCTTGTCAGTCCTATATTAAGGGTCTACTGTCTTGTCAATGAATCTCTAACTCTTATTGTAGTAATCAAACTTTGGAGACAAACTGCAGGGGAAGAAAGTGAACCTACTAAATATTTCACCATTAAAATTATCCAGAAAATGTTTTAAATGTTTTAAAATCAAGAAACCATAAATTCGGAAATGTTAGAATCAAGACTGCCTGTACAATGTTAATTTAGTTAATTTAGATGGTCTTTGAGATAAATGCCTTTTCCAGGAATGAGGAAAACAATAGCTGATATGAGCTGAAGCTCCTCCTATAGTCAGACCCCATTTCCTTGATAGGCCACCACATAAAGGAAAGAAAAAGGAACAGCAAGGACAGAAAATACAGAGGCTGCTGCTGGTGCGGACTCTTGCCTATAACTTGAGTACTAGAAAAAGGTGGGCTTGGTCCCTAGTCTTATCAGCTGCTTGAGACTTGGCAAGCTTGCACCAGCACTGGGTTGACCTTATTTCTTTTGACCTTGTCTCTGTAAGCCTGTGACCAAAAACAAAGTTAAGCAGACTCCACTGACCATGACAGACTTAACACAAAGCAAAGGAATGGGAAGAAAAAAATGTAACTGGGGAAGAAAAGGGTGACAAGGAAGGGACTGATCAAAGTTGCCTGTTCCAAGTTTTGTTCAAGACTTCACTGGTTTCACCAGCTTCAGCTGTCACGTGGGTCTACCTCTCTCTATCAGTCAGTACACACTAGAAACAGGGGGTGTCTATGCATGTTCTGAGATTCGGGGGAATCTTTAATTAGAGTGGCTCCTAGACAGCTATTTTAATTAAAACACCACAGCATCACATGTATTAAGCATCCACATTTCAAAATGGGCACCAAGGGCACTTTAACTAAAGTTCATTCAATGAGTTTTAGTTAAAGTTTTAGTTAAAGTGCCCCTGTAACTTACTGTGGCACTCACTTGAGCATTTCACCTTCTCCGGCCAATCAGGCACTCCTGTCCCCTTCCGGGTTGACAGCTTGCCCTCCGGTGCGAGTCCTTAAGGCCCCCAGGGGTTCTCACCTGCCATGACTTGGTTGGAATGGTTATTAGTGGGAGGAAGTTCTTAGGTCCTGCCTCCCGTGGTTCTCTCTCTGATCTCACACGCAGGTCTTTGGTTTTGGGGCTCCACCTCCCCTGCACCCCACCTAACACAAACCAAATGAGATGTTAAGTCTTGGCTGAGGCTACCTGTCAGTCATCAACCATGGCTGGGCATTAGCCCCTGTCTATTTTCAGCCCAAGTTCAGAAGGTTTACTATCCTTATTGGGGCCTCAAGTTGGCCTGACTCATCTACTCTTCTACCCTGGGGTGAACCTTACTTCAGGTCTCTCTCCCCCAGGGTTACTCATGGCTTTTAACACTCCTCTGTTTCTCCTCTCCCTGCAGGCTCACCAGTCTCAGTCTCTGTTGGTGTCATCTCGGATCCACGGCTGCTGGAGAGGTGAGTATCCTGGCTCCTCCAAGCCAGCCTTAGCTGGGCACCCCAACTCTTGGGGTTGCCACCACTTGCCTCTGCTGGGGCATACAGGCACTTCCCATTGCTCTGGACACTCAGGAAGAGCCACTTCTGGTCCTCCCTGGATGTTGGCCAGCGGGGATTTTATCCCTCTACAAAGCATGCCACCAGCACCAGGGGGTGTTTTTGATCTTTGGCAGCATTCTGCTGCTGCCGCTTTTCCTCCTGCTTTCATGCTGGTGGTAAGATTATTCTCATGGCCGCGTCCCCACCACAGTCCCCACAGCCATTTTGAAACACGGGGTGCTTAATACAAGTGATGGTGGGGCACTCTGGAGCGTTCTAATTAGAACACTCCAGCAGACTTAATTAATGGTCTAATAGATTAATTAGGATGTACAGGCACCCTAAGTGACAAGAGCCCAATGGAGTCTCAGGGATCCTAGGACTCCAGGAGAGTGGGGGAGGGGTGGAAGGAACAACAGTCATAATGGTGACATTTGTTCCTTCTAGTCCACCCATGCGTCTGGTACATGTATCCTATGAAGTACTACCAAAGGGTGTGAACAGCTTTGGTAAGTAGGCATTATGTCCACTACCTTCCAATACACCAATTTCGGTTTCCTGAATTTCAATCCCTCTCTCACCTTGCTTACAAGACATGTTCTCAGCGATACTATGGTTTGTCATTAGGAATTTTCATTTGAAACTGGTTTGTTTTGGATTTTTACCAATTTTTATAAACATTTTTATGCATTAGACTAGGTGGACTTCTGTTGCATTGGACAACTTGAAGAACAGGACTTTGCATAACAGGTCTCACCATTCCTCTGCATCAGCAAAGATCTGTGAAACCTACTGGAAAAGTTTCCATTTGCTTTTAAGGTTACTCTATGTAGGAGCTGATTTTCCACTGCTACTATGTCCTTAGCTCAAGTGGCAGAGATGGGTCCAAAGGCTTCAGCACTACTCATGAACACATGGGGAAGGTGGAGCTAGCAATGCCACAAAATTAAATTTGGAGGAGGGAGAGAATGTATTTTTCTCTTTTTTTCTCCTCCAATTTGCTAACTAACCTGGAAAGTTACACACAAGAAGTTATATTAAAAGAACATTAAGATTGCAAAATGAAGTTAGATGTACATGATTATAGTCATACTGCACAATCACAAGCCAGTTTTCCCCCCACAGGATACTGTCAGTAGATAAGACTTCAGAAAGACCAAGGCAAATTGGAGGATTGGACCAAAAGAAATTTCATGAGGTTCAATAATGACAAGTGCAAAGTCCTGTATACAGGATGGAACAATCTCATGCATCGGTACAAGCTGGGGGCTAACTGGCTGGGCAGCAGTTCTGCAGAAAGGGACCTGGGGGTTGCAGTGGACAATAAGCTGAATATGAGCCAACAGTATGCCGTTGTTGCCAAGAAGGCTAATGGGCTGCATCGGCAGATGTGTTGCCAGCAGATCAAGGGAAGTGATTATTCCCTCCTGTTCAGCACTAGTGAACCCACATCTGCAGTACTGTGTTCAGTTTTGGGCCCCCACTACAGAAAGGAAATGGACAAACTGCAAGGCAACAAAAATGGTTTGGGGGCTGAGGCAAATGACTTATGAGGAGAGGCTGAAGGAACTGGCCTTATTTAGTCTGGAGAAGAGAAGACTGAGGGGAGATGTAATAGCAGCCTTTAATTACCTGAAGGGGAGTTCAAAAAAGGATGGAGCTGTTTGTTCTCAGTGGTGGCAGATGACAGAACAAGGACCAATGGTCTCAAGTTGCAGCAAGGGAAGTTTAGGTTAGATTTTAGGAAGAACTGTCTCACTAGGAGGGTAGTAAAACACTGGAACAGGTTACCCTGGAGGCTGGGGGGGGCGGGGCACGGTGACCACCTGTAGACAGAGGCGGTGGCAGCGACGAGTCGCAAGCTCCCACAGGCAGCCACGGTGGTGTTGGCAGCAGGGGAGACTGATCAGGAAGCTCCTGCAGGTGGCGACAGCAGTGTTGGTGGCGGCGGATGGGTGGCAAGCACCGATCAGCGGTTGGCAACCACCCGCAGATGCCACTGTTGGCAGCAGCCAGCAGCAATCAGGGACTGGCTGCAGACACCACCAGTGGCATCGGCAGCAAGGAGGGGGGATGGCAAGCAGTGACCACCCTCAGGCGCCGCTGGCAGCATCAGCGGCACTTTTTGCAAGGGGTACACTGCCAAGCTCAGGGGGTGCACATGTACCCCTACGTGTCACCAGTGCCCAGAGAGGTAGTGGAATCTCCATCCTTGGAGGTTTTTAAGACCTAGCTAGACAAAGCTTTGGCTGGGATGATCTAGTTGAGGATGGTCCTACATTGAGCAGGGGGTTGGACTAGATGACCTCCCAAAGTCCCTTCCAACTCTAATTTTCTATTATTCTAAGACAGACTTGTTCTGGAGAGGAATCAGGATGGTATAGCGAAGAAAGTTATTTGCAAGAGCCCTAGCCCAGTGCTTCTCAACCAGGGTGCCATAAGACCCCTCTCAGAAGAGCTGCATCACAAGCACCATGGCAGTGGCCAAGTAAACCTGCCCTGCATGCAGAGCTGTAGCACACGAA